GTATTAAAGAGGGCACGTTCTGCATGGAGCACTGGGTGTTATACACAAACAATGAATCATGGAACACTACATCAAAAACTAATGATGTAATGTATGGGGATTAACAAAACAATAAAAAAAAAAAAAGAATTGCACAGAAACACTACAGACTGAGAATTAACTGGATTCCAGTAAAAACATGTAGCAAAGGTGCATTGAGTAATTGTGGGCCCTTTTATGTACATTTTGTCACCAAATGTGGTAGTTCTTTAACCAAGAAAACACAGGAGTTTTGTTTTAGGTAAAGAAGCTGAGACTCGGAGAGGTAGCATAAAGTAAATCATATAGCTAAGGTGGTACCAGGATTTGAACCTGACTTTTTTTTTCTCTACACCAGTGGTTCTGAAATTTTAGGATATATAGAATCATCTGGAGGGCTCTTTAAACCATAGATTTCTAGGTCCCAGTCTCAGAGTTTTTGTTTCAGAAGACCTAGGGTAGGGGTAGGGGATGAGAATTTTCATTTCCAACTATTTTAAATGATGTATATGCTGCTGTTTAAAAGAAAAATTTCCACTTACCCCTTTCCCTTACCTTAAATATGTTGAGTTTGGGCTATAATGCTATGTGGGAAAGAGCACTGTCATGAGAAGCAGGAACCCCAGCTTGTAAGCCCAGCTATGTGACTAATTCGCTGAGTTATTCTGTGGAAGTTACTCCACTTCCTTAGCCCTCGGCTTCCATCTTTATCCCAAATTTGGGGATTTTGTTAGATACCCGGAGGGTCCCTCCCAGCTCTACTCATCTGTGACTCACAGCCTCCAGGCACTTTTCTCACCTGCTGCCTGTCAGCTTCGGAGTGTGATCTCTTTCTTCTTGATGCACAAAGAGGGGGGGAAACGAGCAAGATACAGGAAAACAAAAAACAAAAAAAAACTCTTTGTTCCTCTGGAATTCCCCAGACATACTCCAAGACAGAGTTGCGTCATTGGACCACATGGAAACCCCACAAGCACACATCTCCCCACACTTTGGGAACCTCCTTCCATGGACCAGTCAAATGCATTTCGGATTCAGAGAAGCCCAAGCAGGCTTTACAGGGAGAGATTAATTTCTCTTTAGCTAGCCTGAAAGATATTTTAAAAATTAAAAACTATCTGCCGCAGTGCTTGAGTGAGGATAATAGCTAAATTAGAAGGTGGTAGAACCAATGTCCTTTTTTAAAACACAGCTTCATAGTAATCCATGAGGCATTTCCTCTAGGGTTAGGCTGGGAAGAGAAAGCTGTGCACAGCGAACCAGGGCAGAGGAGGAAAGGCAGGGCCTTGTCTGCAGACCTCATGTCACAACTGGCCACTTATGCTGAAGACATTAGATACATGGTTTGTTTTTAAGTTTTGAGAATCATTTCCAAATACTTACTCAATGTTGTATTAATAGGGACATGGATAAAAGGATTCCATATTAACATAAGTTTCAGGAAAACTGAGAGAACCAGTTTTCTGACCTTTCTGGGGGTCCTTGGAGCCTTTCATGAACCAAGCTAATCCTGTGTCATCAAGGACCACAGTGCTTTCCATCTTTCCATTCAGGCTTCACTGGTGCAGATTTTCTCTCTCTCCTGGGAGAAGGGGTCTGGCAATCTCAGGAGTCACATCTCACTCCAGAGGCCCCCAGCCTGTAAGTGTCACTGCCCAGGACTACACCAGTTACTGGTAACAAGAAAGGAATGCCCATGATAGTCATGGAGGAACCCACTCCTGCCTCCAGGGCTGGGAAATGCCACTGCTTTCCCTTCTTAGCGCAGGAAGAAATTTGGGGCCCATAAAGACCAAGGGAATGGTTGTTAGGTCAGCAAGGAACCATGTCTGCAGAGTTACAAAGCTCAAGATAACTAAGTTTCTGGGCAGATCTTCACCAACTGTGAAAGCCCGGCAGATCTCTTGCATGTCCAGGAATTCAAAGCAAACAAGGTCACCACGAGGGTCCTTTCTCCTCACCCCACCATCAGTGAGCAAGGCATGCATGCTACCTAGTGGCCAAAGGAAATCCTCTTCAGTGCAATGAAAGAAGTTGACCAATGCATGAGTCTCACTGGAAGTAGACCATGTTCTCCAGTCTGCAGAAATCAATTTCAGAGTCACAAATTCTGGAGAACAACAAAAACAGATAGTGTGATCATGAGATATATGACGCTGCCCTCTCCCAGAGTGGTGGATCTGAATCACAGCCTAATGTGTCCCCAGCTCTCTGGCTGAGGAGTCACTCTTTGTATACTTAATCCCAAGAAGGTGGTTTTCGTGGTTTCCTGGTAAGTCGATTGAGAGCAATTTGACAAAAACAATTTAACTGAAAGCACTTTGCTTAGAAGAACTCTAAAATGTTAGTCAAAAATAAATATATTCAGTCACCAATATTTCTAGTTTCAGTGATAATTATTAACTGAATACACAAATATGGGCAAATCTGCCCACAGACAGCAGAGGCTGACTCTTGATGAGCAGGATTGTGAGTGTTTTCTCTGGTCTCCTTTTGCTAGCTGCACTTACTGATAAAACAGGCAAGTAATGATTTTCTGCATTGCTTTTGTACTAAGAAAAAGTAAAATGAAAGGATATGGAATTTCTAGGTATTTGAGGGTTTTGTTTTCCCTCCTTTCAATTCTAATTCACTTTAAGCCACTATGCCACCGCTGTGCTTGTTTGCCAATTTCTCTGTTTTTGCACATAGGGATGAGAGGTATTTATTTGTTCCAAATAGCCCCTTCATGTGGGAGGGTGCCGGGCAAGAGTCATTGCTGAAAATAAATTAGGAACTTCAGAAAGCAAAAAGTGAAAGACAGAAAATTTTAAACTAAATTTTTCAAACTGCTTTCAAATGCATGAAAAGGGGCAACAATTCCATATTGCACCACCGTTTCCAACACTTGGGGCAGCCAGGAACCGATATGCAGGGTGTTCACTGTGTACCTCCGGGCAGCCTCGAGTATGAGGCTGTCCCCTGCTGTGCTGGGACACGGCAACCTAAACAGAAACCAACCTAATCAAATACCCTGTTTCTGTCGAATTGTTCTTGGTCCAGTTATAAGCTGTTGTTGTAATGAGTTGGGACACCTGTTTATGTTCTTCCTTGGGGCTCTCAGATAGTCCTAAGGATCCTAAGAAGTTCTGAATACAGTACTGTAAGCCTGGAATGTCAGGTGCTGTGCTAAAGCTTCTGGGAAGGGCTGGTTTTGTTTACAAGACTAGCCTTGTGGCAAACACCAGGTATTTGTTGAGTTTCTATAACTGAACTGGTGGTTCTGTCTCCACACCTACCCCTGGGGTAATATTTCTAACTCACTGGCCTGCCTTAAATCTTTAGTATCTCCCACAACATCTTCTGGACACAACCTAAACTCCTTAGTAGAGCCTTAAAGCTCTTCAGATCTCTACCTCATCTCCCACCATGCCCTTGTGGGCACCCACGGCCCCTGGCACAATGAACTACTTCAAGAGCCTTGAGTGCATCCTGCTTGAGCGTGCCCGTGCACATCCTGATTCTGTCTTAAAGCCTGACTAGCTCCTAACTGTCCTTTATGCTTGGCCTAGAAGTCCCATCTCTCACCTAGGAAGACCTAGAAGTCACCTGTGTAAGGAAATCTTCCCTCACTCTAGAAGCCCTCTCTTCGAGCTCCTGCTGCACCCTGTGCACCCTACGGTTCTGGTGGTCACACCACTGTGTTAGGATTCATGATGTCATAGGATGCATTCTGTAAGTGCGTCTCTGCACCCTCAAGGAACTGGGACCTCCCAGAGGTCAAGAACTATGTTCTATTACTGACCAATTCACGAAATTGGAGTATGGCCAGTAGGTTAGATAATATTAGATAAGACTAGTGTATCAATGTTAAATATACCAAAGTGGATAATTACCCTGTAACCCAGGGTAAACAAGCTATGGTCTGTGAGCTAAGACGAGTTTCCTCATTTTTAAAGGTTGTATAAAGTAAAAAGACGAGTGTGTGACAGAGACCATATATGGTCCACAAAACCCAAAATATCACTATCTGGCCCTTTACAGAAAAAGTTTGCTGACCCCTGCTGTAGTCTCATCAGAAGATAGACCCTTACTCTTAGGCAAGACACACTGGCTGTGTTCAGAGGCAAAGGCCATGATATATGCAAATTAGTCTCAATTCAGAAAAAAACTGTATGTTTGCCACACATATATACACACAGATAGACATAGACAGATGATAGATGATAGATAGATGATAGGATGATAAAGTAAATAGAATAAAGTGTTCATAGATGAATCTGGATAAAGGGTGTGTGGGTGTTCTTTGTAGTACTCTTACTCTTGCAATTATTTTGTTAAGTCTGATATTATTTTCAAATAAAATTTTGTTTTAATTCCTTAAAAAATAATATAAAAAAGAACTATGTCCTGATGTTTCTGTATATTCATTGTTTAGCACAGTTTTACACATTTTGTATGTGCTAAGTTAACTTTAGTTGAATGAATCAATGAATATAAATTCTTCTAAAATATCTATCATTGTGTGGTGCTGTCGGAAATACAGTGGTGATTTAGAGTATGATTGGGAACATTACAGAACAATCCCACTGGGGAGGCAAAGCCTATGCATTTGAAGTAAATAACAGAAAAAAATGTGATATGAAATTAACAGTAAAAATAGCTCACATTTCTGTACTATGTACTAAGTGTCAAGCACTGTTCTGTGTCCTTTACATCTGTATGTTTTTTATCTATTAATTAATTTAATCTTTGAAATACCTTCTATTTTATTACATGTACATATATTACATATTATAAGCATATTATATATGTATGTGTATTTTCATATCTGTATGTGCATATATATGTTGTTATATAACATGAGAGCCCAGAACTAAAGTACAAACACATCATTTTGATAGCTTCCTTAGAGTCCCCTCATTTCTTTTTAAAAACCAGAGTGACCATTCACAGCCCCTTCCCTTTGATCCCAGTGACCTAGCCCTAGTTTGGCTATTGCTTAACAAAACTTCATCAACACAAACAAGTTTAATACGAGCTTCAAGTTTATGAAAGGTCAGTGTTGGTACTCCTTCAGCTTTTGCTCTAGTTAGAACTGTTGTCTAAATTCTTCCCATGGGAGATTTGAAAGGCCTAGGCTACTTTTCAAAATGCATCCTGGCTTAGAAAAGTCCTGGCTAGAAGATCATCAGGATGACACAATTATAGTTGACCAACCAGCCTAAAAACACACAAGATGGCAGCTCTACTAAGAAAGTCCATTTACTTTTCCTGGGTTTCCTTTTTCTACTTTTTATTGGAACTCTTGAGTTTCTATATATGGGATTACATAACAGTTTTTTTGCTGTTGGCAACTTTTTTCTTTTTCTCTCTCTCTTTTTTTTTGACCAGTTATAATGAAACATAAGAGATAAAATGCACGAAGTTAACAATTGTGAAGGTGAATGAGAACAACATTAATTTTGTAGCTTAGGTAAAATTTCTTTAGCCTCATAATTGATGAACTATTTGAAACACAGTAGAAATCCTTTATAAATGGAGTATTTGAAGGAAATGAGAGTCAGTTCACATCCTCAAAACATAATCCAGCAAAAGCCTGTAATATGCTTAACGTCTGACTGCAGTGTAAAAACCATGTCCCCAGATTGCATTTTGACCTTGAGACATTTAGCCCAAATGAACAGAGGCAGCACATTGAATTTACAACAGTTTATCCCAACAGCTGTGCCAGCCTAGTTATAATCCAGCATGTGACAAACTGTATGAGAGCAGACGCTTTCATTCCCGTAGTGACTTCCACAGAGGAATTATAAAGTACCTTGAGAAATTATGCCATTAATATTCACTAAGTGCCCATAGTGGCAGAAACTGAAGAACAGAGGTTCAATGAAGACACAGACTCTGTCCAGGATGCCGACTTTACCTCATTGATCTTCCCCAAGGCCAGGCTTCCCCTCGACTACGTGAGTCAAAAGACCCTTCCCTGTAAATCAGGTGCCTTCCACCTGGAACACAATGATTTATGGAAAGTTTTCTGCTTCTATGGGAAGTTAATCAGGTGTTTTCGTTACATCTTTATCCCCATTGCGTCTTTCATTTTTCAATATCTTAAACCAAAACTCAAAGATCTTGGTGATAATATAGACGGATAAATAGCTAGCTAGCTAGATACCTACACACCTCAATGTTACAGTATATGTTCATTGTGTGTTTCAATGAGGTCAGCATTTTCCTCACCTATACAAAAATTCCTTCCATTGAGTGATGTATGAGCTTATAATTGACCTCAAAATAAAAATGTGATGCTCTCTGTCTTATCAAAATATGCTAATTTTAACCAAATTAGTGCTATGTTCCAGAATCAGCTACAAAAAGACACCAAAGACAACACTATGCCAGGAATATTTCAGCATAACAATTAACTTCTATGTTACTTTTTCATAAAAAAATTACTTATTCTGCTACAGTTTTTGTTATTTGCAGCAATATGTCCCACTGAAACAGTGGGGAATATATTCATGTAGTGAGTAAATATCTTTCCTTTTCCTTCCATCAGATATTTTCTCCATGATTTCTGACTCCAGTGGGGTGATGGTTTATGGACGATATGATCAGTTCCTGCGGGAAGTTCTCAAACTACCCACAGCCGTTTTTGAAGGTCCTTCATTTGGTTACACAGAGCAGTCAGCGAGATCCTGTTTCTCTCAACAGGTAGGAAAAAAAGGAAGTGTCTCTCACACAGTGGTTGTCCTTTGGTATGTTACTCCATGTCACCACTTAGACAACCTCTTCTTCACAATAACCTGTAATATCTCCCAGCCTCTGACAAGTGACCTTTGAGCCAGTAATTCAACTCAACATACCTGGAAAGTAAGAATCGGTGGTACTTCCTGACAGTGAGCCAGGCACCATGCTAAGCTCTTTTCTTGCATTGTCTAATTTAATCCTTACAACAACCCTCTACCCTCGGTATAATTGCTGTCATTATCACTACACTATCAAAAGAGCTGAATTGTCACTCAGCCTCACATGAAACACAAGTCGGAGCCAGCTCCAAGCTTCACCAATGTGCAGTAAAGGAAAGGAATCATATAGCATATGCCACACAGGAAGGCCTGACGTATGACAAACACAGCTGCCTAAGTCCCCCGCGACATGATACATTAGGGCTTCAAAGTGACATGTTTTAACTGGGGGTGGTACAAGTTAGCCCAGAGAAGATATTGAGTATAGCTCAATACTCAATGTTTGCATCTGCCCAGTCGTGTACAAAGTCTGCCTGTCCAGCACCATTCTCCAGCACAGTACAATGGTAGTTTACAAACCCATAAAGTGAAGGTTTGCTTAAAATTTTTTGAAAATCCATACTAACCAAGTATATCCTCTAAAAGTTTCCCTTACTTAAGAAATCAGGGCACAGCAGCCACTGAAAACCTGCATTTCACTGCCCACCTAGTAAACTTCATCAGTCTATTTCCTTGTGACCTAGGAGGTCAAAAGTGCCTCAGACATCCCTGCGGGTCATGGATTGATGTAGAATCATAGGTATCCATACAACTAATAAGAGGTGGGACGGTGTGATACACTAAATGCTGGCTCTGGTCCCGTGTTGTCTCATCCAGAAAGCCTTTCTGACCCCTCACACTCCCCCAGCCCTAGGCCAGCTTAGGTCCCTCATCTCTGCCCCCAGCTGAAGCACACTCCTTTCTATATTTGTCCTTCAAGTTGGTAACATAAGAATGGTTCCATTCACCTAAGCCTCCTTCCAGACCACTTCCTCACCCCGCAGTTCTCATGAGTCCTCAAGTCCTGCTGATTTCCCCATCTAAATGTTTCTCCGATCCCTTTCCTCATCCTCATCTGTTGTCTGGCCTATTCTATTAAACACCACGCTGGTCTCCCTGCCTCTGGGTTTGTTTATTTGTACATTTGTACATTTGTTGATCGTTTCCTTCACTGTGCAAAAGCTTTTTATTTTGGTGTAGTCCCAATAGTTTGTTTCTGCTTTTGTTTCTCTTAATGACTCTCTTTCTATTTTCATAGGACCTCCGTGTTCAATAAGAATTATATATGATGTTACCACTGCTCAAAATTCCTTTTGAAATATCTTGTAGACAGTCCTATTATATAATTTTTTATATATCCTCAATGATGAGAAATTTATATATGTTAAAATCATAATCACATTTTTGGAAACTGCCAGAAGTGATTTTTAGCCAGCATGATGAATGATCAAAATGGGTAAGAGCATTTGAAGTATAAAAAGAGGCAATACAAATAAAAATAATAAGACCAGTATATTTTTGTCTTTTGTAAACTGGCTGTCACAGCAGTTTGAATGATGAAATTTTACATTTTTTTGCATTGCTTCATTGGAAAAAGTACAAGCCATTCCAAGTGATTATTTTGAAAGCCAGTATTATTTTAAAATGATGCTACAAATTGTGGTAGCTTTTTCAAAAATGTTGTCTCATTACTTATACTTTACATAAAATATCTTTTAATAATAATGTTGCTATCGATCCTATAAAACTTAAGCTACTTAGTATTATGAGGAAAAGCTAAAATTATAAATATCTGCTGATAGAAAAGATTAATTAAAGCATACCAAAATATTTTGTGAGTGAATGATAAGGATTAGTGTTAAGATAGGTGCCTTGAAAAGGTGCTGTAGCTCTTCACCACTGATTTCTTGTCTAAAGATAAAAAACTATCCCTTGGCTGTCTATTCTGTTCCATTGATCTGTTTTTGTGCCAGTACGATACTGTTTTGATTACTACAGTTTTGTAGTTCATCTTGAAATCTAGAATTGTGATGCCTCCAGCTTTGTTTGTTTTTTTGTTTTGTTTTGTTTTGTTTTTTCAAAATTGGTTTGGTTATTTGGGGTCTTTTCTGGAGAACAAACAGATGGTTACCAGAGGGGAGATGGTGGGGAGTTGGGGATTAAGAGTACACTCATCTCGATGAGTACTAAGTAATGTATAGAATTGCTGAATCACTATATTGTACACCTGAAACTAATATAACACTGTAGGTTAACTCTACTGGAATTAAAATAAAATTTAAAAACAAAAAGCCAAAAAACAAAAAACTATCCCACCCACCTGATATTATAATTCAAAATTTCCAAAATAGTGACTTTTGCACATAAACATGTCATTTTTTTGTCATTCATCCTATGATAATATCATGTACTCCTATAACTTCTTATTTTTTGTCATTTTGAAGGAAACTGATAATACATTCCTTTTCTACGCTGGGAAGGACCAGGATAGTGCAAACAGATGCAGACTGAATTAAGAGGAAAGAACTATAAAGAGAAAAGGGATTTTCAAAAATATAGATGGTTCTCTCCTCACAGCAAAGGATCACTCCCTCCTAACAGGACGCCCTCCTGATCTTGTATGGCAGAATCATTCATATTAACCATGAAGTATGTAGGACTTGCGGGAGTAGGGGGAGTGTGTAAAGGAGTTGTTCTACAGATGGGGAAGACCACCTGCTACAGGAATTGTGGGTCACACGGTTGGGTCAAATTTTACAGAGCAGGTCTACGCCTCATCTTCCCTCATCACTTTCATACTGTCCCTGGTTCACAAAAGCACCCCTCCCAAAACTGTTGTTCTTGTGGCAATATGGACTCAGCCTCAGAGGAGATAACCCAGTCCTACGAGTATTTAAGTGTCAAAAGCAACCAAAGGGTTTTAAATTCAGAACTGGTTCTTAACTATCAGAATATATTCTGTTTCTTTATATATTAGAGGTTAATTGGATGTCTTGTGTCTTTCATCTCAGATGGTATTTACATAGCAGGTCAATTGAAATTATTCTCTGTTCTAAATTTTTGTGGGTTTTTTGATGCAGAAAAAAGTCACCTTAAATGGTTTCTTGGACACGCTCATGTCCGACCCTCCCCCCCAGTGTCTGGTCTGGCTGCCCCTTCTGCATCGACTGGCGAATGTGGAAAACGGTGAGTAGTTACTCCTGAGCCAGGGCAGTTTTTAAAATTATTGAAATTAGGCTATCAAGTCTACCGTTATTAAGCCAAGGTCGTTTAGTAATTCTGAGTTTTGAAAGAACCTTTCTCCCTGATCAGTGAGGCCTTTGAGGTCCACTGCAAAATTAGGACTGTCAATTCCATACACTTATTAATCTCACCGTGTGTCTCTCAGAAGTCACGTGTGGCTGTAGACTTGCTCTAGCAGAAGAAGAATCTCAATAATGAATAGGACATTTTCCAGGATTATTTTTAGGTCTGAACTTCCGATATTGGTGTTCACGGCATTGACCATTCCTAGGCACTTGGCCAAGAATAGGCGGGGGAGATGGAGAAAAAATTAGATAATGGTGCCTTGCTAATCTTTGGTCATATGCTCCAAATGGAAGCTTTCGATGATTGTGGTTACATAAAGAATAACTTGACCAAAGGCAAGAATTTTTGTTTTTTAATATCTTTAGCTCATAGCATGTAGACAGTTACTTGGATTTGATTGGACGTTAGCTTCAAATCTCAAGTATCTTACCTTGCCTGCTTTATAATTCAAATTGTCTGTCAGAGAGAGTTAAGTGTTTCTCAAACTATCTGAATTAGAAGCGTATTCACATCATTTATACATCTCTTTGGGCCCTGTCCATCTGCCTCTCGGGAAAGGAAAAACAAAAATTGTTAAATGGAGGTAATGTCACTCATGAAAGAAGCCCATTCGCCACTCCATTTTTTTAACAAAATAATTCGATTCTCTCATCCAGTTTTCCTACTCTCCCTCATTCCCCTTTCCTTTTTCTCCCTCTGTTTTCCATTTCTCTAACGTCCGCTCTCCACTCAGGGGACAGTCAGTTGTGTTCCCCCGTTGTGCTTCTGAGTCTTCCAGTGAGCTGTGCTGGTCTCCTGGAGACAGGGGAGCAGCTTGGGGGAAAGGCGAGTCAGTTTGGGCAATTTATATTCTCAGAGTGTAAGAGATGGGAGTGGAGAGAGAAATTTGTGGTTAAAAGAAAACCTATCCTCCCTCCCGTTTCACTTCCTCCACCTCCACACACATGCTTGGAAAGGGTGCCGAGAGTCCAGGAATAAACATGATGCTCCTCTTGGCCAGAATTGACTATCCTCTGAAATCACGGCACACAGCAGAAAAACACAGTTCCCGTTAGGCTGCCTTTTTCCTTATTCTGGCTCAGACTTTCCTTTTCTCATTTTTTCCCCTCCATTTCCTTCCCCCGTAGTCTTCCACCCGGTTGAATGTTCCTACTGCCACAGTGAGAGTATGATGGGGTTCCGCTATCGGTGTCAACAGTGTCACAACTACCAGCTCTGTCAGGACTGCTTCTGGAGGGGCCACGCCGGCGGCTCCCATAGCAACCAGCACCAAATGAAAGAGTACACGTCATGGGTAAGGCAAGGTCCAGGCAACACTTGCCCTCGCATGTGTGAGTGGCGCTCAGAACGCAAGGGAACAGCAAGGATGGCGGGAGACTCGAGGGCAAGCCTAACTTCTACTCTAGCACGCCCCCCCCACCTTACTGGGACACCTCCATTGCTGCATCTGAACCCAGTGCAGCGTCCTCGGACTTAGAGTTTAGGAAGACTCACGCTCTGTTACTCCTTGGGATACGATCAGCTCGGTACTGGTTTAGATAACAACCCAACAAGCACCTTTGTTTGAGACATAATCTCGTTTTCACAGTAAGTTAAGGTTCTTACCGAGTTTTGTTTGGTTTCAGGGGTGGGAATTGCTTAAAAGTTATCATTAGTTCCTTTTTTCTCAGATTCTGGGGTTCTGTTACATGCATGGCTAGAGCATAAAAGAAAGACGTGTGAGCCCGTGGGCTTAGTGCTGCTGTTCCGGTTTCCTTTTTTGGAGGCAGGGAGGTTGTGGCTCTATGAGCAAATCATCTTTTTGTAAAGTGTGAGTGACCAGCTTGCCAGAGGTGACCTGTGAGAGTCTGTCCATGTGATGCATGTGTGGGAGGAATCTGACTCGGTGAGCTCGGGGTTCAAGCTCAGGGTTAGTTTGCTGACCTGTGTCTCAGTTACACTCAAAGATCGGGTCCCCTGGGGTTGTTCTGTGCTTGTGTGAAAGTATTGTTCTGTGTATGGATTGGTTTTTGTGGGCTGTACCATCAGGCCTGCCAACCCCTCTTGGAGTAGTTCTTACACAAGAAAACGCAAATTTTTTTTTTTTTAAGATTTTATTTATTTATTTATTTGTCAGAGAGAGACAGAGCACAAGCAGCGAGAGAGGCAGGCAGAGGGAGAAGCAGGCTCCCCGCCGAGCAAGGAGCCCGATGCGGGACTCGATCCCAGGACCCCGGGATCATGACCTGAGCCGAAGGCTTAACCGACTGAGCCACCCAGGCGTCCCAAAAACGCAAACTTTTTATTATGAGTTTTTTCTATATTTTATATATTTCAACTAACGTATAGTCTTTACGTAAAGAGTAACTTATTGTTCTTTTTTTTTTAAAAAAAAAAAAAGGAGGTATTCAGAAAACGCATTTTAAATCAGAATGTTCTTTCTAGGAATGATTATTGGGAACCGGCATTCAGAGTAAATATATTAATTTTTCAGCGTCTGTCAGATTCTAAATTCAAGTACGAGGCATCGCGTACTGAGGGCTTCACACCAGTGCAGATGCCACCTCTCACCGTCGGTTATGTCACATGCTGAGCATGGCTCCGCTAACACAGAGCATGAAATGCTATTACTACTTAGTGCAGAAGCTAGGAGAAGATGCTTTCCATTTTCTTATGGTCGATATCCTACCAATTTTCAAACTTGTTCTATCTCACGTTCTGGAGGGTTAGTGTTTGAAGATTAAGCATTTTTCTTTTTTTTTTTTTTTAAAGATTTTATTTATTTATTTGAGAGAGAGAATGAGATAGAGAGCGTGAGAGGGGGGAGGGTCAGAGAGAGAGGCAGACTCCCCGCCAAGCCGGGAGCCCGACGTGGGACTCGATCCCGGGACTCCAGGATCATGACCTGAGCCGAAGGCAGTCGCTTAACCAACTGAGCCACCCAGGCGCCCGAAGATTAAGCATTTTTCAATGATTGTTTTACGTAAATGCTAACGTCAGTTTAGGAGCCTCTTTCTTAGAGGCTGTGGGCTCAAAACTCTATGGCTCTGTGGCAGGGCAATGTCTTTACAAAATAGGATCAGACCCCTCAAGAGGACAAAGACGCTCCAATGTTTGTGGACGGAAACACAAGCTGGCTGTGTTTTAGGGGTTCTAAGAATTATATCTCCTAACAAAAGCCAAAGAGGGACTTCTTGAACAGGGCTCCTATCGCTTAGCTTTTAAATAGTGAGGACAAAAGTCACTTCATTGTATTGCCAATTCTGGGCTCTCCACGTAAAAGGAAGTGACAAAATGGTACGTGGCTTCTCATGGAAAGGAAGAGCTGGTATAAAGAGTTATTATATGTGGTAGATTATTTTTGATAGATTTGGCTGTGAAATTATAAGATCTACATCCCACTCGTCTAAATGAAAAAGAGATAACATGATGCTCTGGAAAGAACATGATTTTTAAAACTCCAAAGACTCCGATTGAAGTTCCCCTTTCACTTTCAACTGGATGGATCCAGCCACGCCCGAAACATCTTGCACCTGGATGCCTGTGAAACCTTCTGCTCACCTGCTTACTTCCACTCCTGTCTCCTCCCAGACGGTTTTCTGCTCTTAAGCAGGAGTAATCCTTCTATAATTAGACAGATCCTGTCACCTCTATGATTTAAACTCTTCATGATCTCCCTCTGCATTTGAGATAAAGACCACGGTCCTTGATGTGGCATAGACGGACTTTAAGGGTCTGCCTTCTTCTTTCCTCTCCAGAATGGGGTTTCTTCTTCCTCCATCTGGAATTATCTTCCCAGTCCCCGGAGTTAATATCAGAAGGACTCCTGCTGGTCCCTTAAGTCCCAGCTCAGATGTCCCATGCACAATGACTGCTTCCATTTATCACAGCATTTGCTGACACTAAGTTGCCGGAGGCAGGTACTCTGATGGATGATACCAGAACTTTAGTTCCAGCACTGAGCAAACTCCCTGACTTAGAGTAGATAGTCAAAGATTTCAAGAATAAATCAATGAATAAATGAATGAGTAAATGAATGAATATCTATTATGAAAGCAAATCATCTCCTGAAATGGTATGTAAATGTTAGTTCTTATCACTTCTACCATTCTTCTTCTTTCCAGAAATCCCCTGCTAAGAAGCTAACTAATGCATTAAGCAAGTCTCTGAGCTGTGCTTCCAGCCGTGAACCCTTGCACCCCATGTTCCCTGACCAGCCTGAGAAGCCACTCAACTTGGCCCACATTGTGTGAGTATCTCTGCCTTCCAGATGAAAAGACATCTTTCTTCATTGACACATGTTCACATCCATACAAAGGCAATTTCATATCAGTTGCTAGGGACCAAGTTTTAAATTTTAATTAAAAAAAGAGTAAAAATAATGTGATTATAATTTTTTTATTGCAGGGGTAAACGGTACTTCTGTCTTGATGTATAAGTAAATTATGCAACACTAATGTTATTCACCTACAGGTAGAAAATATTCAAAAAGCATCATTATAAAATATAGATGTTAGTAGAGTTTTTACAACTGGACATTAGCAATCAATGAAATTAACCATAATAAGAAAATTTTAAAGCACACTGTACCTTAATATCATATGTGCTTTGAGTCCCAAATATAAAAGCTCTTTGTTTCATTTATCTGCAGAGCCAGTCATCTTAAAGATATCAGCAAATCTAAAAATTGTTGTTGTCTTATCCCAAACTACACAATTTTAGAAGAATCATGGCCCATACATGAGAAGGTGGAAAAGAGAGGTTGGTGGTAAAATTCCTCAGAACTTCCAAAAACAGACTTTAAAAAATTCTTTCTCCAAAGTCTATGTGAGTTTGGTGGGCAGAGGGGGATGTGCCCAGAAATGGTGCTCCCACCCATTCCTTCCACTTCCCAGAAGGCTCAAGCCCTGGAGCTTCTCTCAGGCCTGGGTGGCCAGATAACAGGGGAGGCTTAGGTAGAAGAAAGTATTTCTTCCTTGGTGTTATCTTGCACTCAAAAGAAGAAACAAGCTCGTCATCTGCTTCTGTGCCCAATTAGGAATTACATCATCACAGGTACCTCAGAAAGACTCTAGAAAACGTGGTTCCCCCTCAATACAAACTGCTTTTTGTTTTGCACAGTTCGGCAGGACCTACTGCACTCAGGGCCTAGGTTTGCATGTTGACATCAAGAGGCGGCAGATCAGACCTATCAATATTAGAAATCCACCAGTACAGAGTTCATGCTTCAGGCAGTTCAGACAGAACATGATCCATCAGAGGCGCCATGATGGATCTGAGCCCTTATGAAAGCAGTAACTCTGTCCTCTGATGGACCTAAGCAAATACCCTCAAATGATTTGTGCTGTGTCATGTCTATGGTTTTGTATAAATACTACGGGGCTTGGTTTGTTTGCTCCCAAGTGTGCGTGGAGGGTTTACTGCCTTCAGCAATAAACACAGCCTGGAGGCTTATGTTGCTGGCATGGGCGAAGCATCCAAAAAACTAACATAAACCAATTCTGTAGAATGTGGCTAACTTATTTTTGGAAATTTTGATCCTAAAAATAAGCCTTAAAAGAAACCAGGAATAAATAAATCTGTGGAGTATCCCAGAGGGCCAGTCACGTGCAGAAAACGACCTCGTACGAGCGATTCTTATTAAGGTCTCACTGTTTTTCCCCTAGCCAGACACAATCACTAACGTGCTAATAAATGAACAAAACTGAGTGAGAGCAAGTCTGTGCTCTCTGAGCTCTGCTGTGGAGCACTTCCTACCAGCCCAGCTGGGAGTTTCAGCCCAGAGAACGACGTTCAATCAGAGCTGATGGGTATAAGGAAACTAGAGAGGGAGTGGATGGGAATAGCCTGACTCTAAGAGCTTTGCAGCAGAACAGAATTAGGATGCTTCCTCCCACTGGGAGACAAAATTAGGAAGTGAGACAGAGTGAAATAAAAGTCAAGTTCATGGTCAGTCACACTGCAGTATTACCTAGCACAGGGCCTGTACCCAGTCATGCTCTGGCTGGTGTGTGTGTGTGTGTGTGTGTGTATTTAATTGGCTAATGAGTAAACAAATTTTTAACTGTAGAGTGGCAATCTGATCTGACGTATTATTCACTGAACTGAGGGCAGTCTCTACACAATTTGAGTTCCATGAAGAGTTTCAGGCTTCCCTTATAATTCTACACAAATGGGCCTTTTTCTGAGAAAAGTTCCATATATTTAACCAGATTCTCCAAATAGTCCTCGAATCAAAATAGTGGCCTATACTCACGGATAATATATTTTTCCAGGGTGAATGTCTTAATTTTAAAATGTGAATTGTGAAAAATATTTAATTGTTGAAATAATAGACAAGAAATTCTGCATGCAGAATGTCCAATCTCTATGAGACTGGGATTTTTTTCTATTTTTAGCTTTAGACATTTTTCTCTCATTTATTATTCAAATGTTTTTGTCCTGAACAGATAGCCATGTCTTTTTCTTTTGTGTTTTTTTTTTTTTTTTGGTTGGGGATAGCTCAGACTTCTAATTTTAAAATATGCCATTCATTTAGCTATTCTAAATTACCACAGGTATGTAAGGCTACTTAAGTGGTGACATTTTGGTATTTTGGCATTTGTTCTTAGCTGTTGTATTTCTTGTTAATTTTACCATGATTAACAGTGTCTATCCTATTCAATTTCTTGCTGCCAAAAGTGATACTTGGTAAGTAGTTCAATAGTCCCCTGTGTGCTTGTAAAGACATAATCATAATTACAAGTGGTTAAGAGACACAAAACAAGTGAGTAACACGAGGCTAGTTTAAAACTAATTCTGCCTTAAGCTGAATATTTTCCATTCACAAGACGAATGCCAATTTTTTTTTAAGATTTTATTTATTTATTTAACAGAGAGAGAGAGCGAGAGAAGGAACACAAGCAGGTGGAGTGGGAGAGGGAGAAACAGGCTTCCCGCCGAGCAGGGTGCCCGACGCGGGGCTCGATCCCAGGACCCCGGTATCATGACCTGAGCCCAAGGCAGACGCGTAACCGACTGAGCCACCCAGGCACCCCCAAATGCCAATTTTATGAAACTGTCCTCTGTGAAGGTCTTGTCCACAAGGAAAACTTTGCACTAGATCCCTGCGACTTTATCTTATGGAGCTATTTCTTTCTCATAAGAATAAATCTGTTTAAAATTCCCAATGTGACCTAGTTATTAGATAAAATAACTTCCCATTTGATGATGGAGACAATAGGAACCACAGTCCCTTTGAAAGCCACCATTTGGTGCCAAGGTTAGTCATTCTGTGTCCCAAGTTCAACATTTCCAAGATGAACCTTAAACATGAAGCCATTTACTAAGAAACTGCAATTTCACCTTTGCGGTGACCAGGTTCTATAGAGTAAATTTACCAGGCTAATTAAAAAGCATTCCAAGTCCACTTGTTTTCTCATTTCCTAGAGCTAGAGCACGATGGGAAAGTTAAAAAAGACAAAAGAAAACCAGAAATGTTGGTCAAGTTGATTGTTTCAACTTGTTGTAAAGTTAAAATGAAGATATTTCATTCTTCTTACTGTTTTAAAATCTGATTTACCTAACTTTTCAAAATTCACAGAGGACATTTGTATAAAATTAGCATCCTGCTTATACAGTGAAAGTGTTGTGCTCAAGGCAGAATTAGTTTTATTTTTTAAAAGATTTTATTTATTAATTTGACAGAGACACAGCGAGAGAGGGAACACAAGCAGGGGGAGTGGGGGAGGGAGAAGCAGGCCTCCCGCTGAGCAGGGAGCCTGCGGAATTAGTTTTAAACTAGCCTCATGTGTCAAAGACACATCCTAGGTAAGTAATGCAAAACACTCAGCTAGTTTTCAGAATGTCAGCTGATATGTTTAGAGTAGATGAAATAGTGAAGCTGCTGTTTCAACCTCACCCATCAAATAATGTCTGCAAAAATCTTAGAACACTGTTTAGCACCAAGTACTAGGAACCAAAAGTTTCGGTGAATTTTTGCATAGAGTGCTGACATTTTAAACCCTGTATAGCATCATTTCCAGTCTCATAAACACACTGGGATAAAGAAGTCTACCTTTTTCTCAGGATCTCTGCATTGTGGAATCCAAAACCAACTTTGGTTCCCTAAGGTAGAAACTAAAGTATTAAAGCTTTGTCTCTTGATCAAGCGAACAGAACCAGATTCTGTAGGCTACTGTGGTTAATATCTGGTGTTCAAAAATTCTGCACCGTCAAACTCAAATATAGAACTATAGTGAGACCAAAATTTCCTCTGACTCAAAATGATGCCGTCTCATTATCCGTATTCTGAACTCTCAATCCCATCTCATGGAACATATTCCAGTGAACCTAAAATAAGACTAAAAACCACTTGGAGATGAGATAGGAGTCTTAGCTCTATCATTTTGCCTGAACTAAGACATTAACGATAGGGACAGGATGACAGGCTAAAATGAAAAATACGACTGGGAATGACAGACCCCATGCAGTTGGGGTTTGAGGCCATGCACAATTCTGAGAAATACTGAACCCTATTTTCTTTCTCTCATCATATGAAAAGTTTATGTGATGCCTTGCACTATGTGCCCTATTATATGGAACATCCAGATAATAGACATTCAGTAAATCCTGTGGTGCCTGATTGCATCTTTGCATAGAACAAAGAGCAAATCAGGCCCGATATGATTTTGCAACTGGCTCCTTCCAGACGGGGTGTATTGAGAAAGAGCCATTGTCATGCGGAGTACAGGAGAAGTTTCTGAAACCTCTGCTTTCCAAGAGGATGTAGATGCTGCTTATCAACAATTTTTCAGAGGTTCTCCTTTTAGAAGACAGTGGACCTGGGGCTGCCTCAAAGTCCTTGCTCGATTCAAGAATATAACTCAAGGAAACACCAAGGCTCAAAGCTCATGGATAAACATTCCTGTGGTGCCCAGAGGTTTTCCTCCTAATGTTTACTGGACATTCCACATTTTTAAGGAAATGTAACTTCCCAAAACGCTTAAAGAATTTCATTGCAAAATATAAAATGTTGTGTTGATCCCAGCCCCTTTCCTGGAAAGGTGGTGGATAGTTTTTTACTTGTGACTTCTGTTTGTTTTAACTTTCCACCCACACTGTACTTCGTTTTAGGCCGCCCAGACCTGTAACCAGCATGAATGACACCCTCTTCTCCCACTCAGTCCCCTCCTCAGGAAGTCCTTTTATTACCAGGAGGTAAGTTCCAATCTTATTATGAAATAAGCCCTCTCCTTGATAATGACCCCTAATTCTGTGTTAGGAAAAATATTCTAATGCAAGCCAGGTGTGGAAGATTATTGTTAGAAACTAGTCTGTAAATATCTGTCACAGGTTTTCACTTTCATTCATTTGGATGCTTTTGACGATGGCTGGGATGGCTTTTGGGATGAGTGTCACTTCTGGAAACTTGCATTTACAGTCTCCTCACAGTAAGAATGTGGGGTATGTTTAAGTTTTATGACCGACACACCTGTATTCTATGTCGTTGAGAAAGTCACCTTCATAGCACTTGGAATGGAGAGAATTGGAATTTCAAGATGCAATGGAAAATTATTAGGTACATTCTGAGACAGTTTATAATCTCCTCTCATAATGTGGTGAGTTCTGGAGTTCCTGAGGCTAGAGGCTGAAGACCAAACTTGGAAGAATAGTTTCCATATAAGTGATTTCAGGGATGATAAGAAGAACTTCTTAAAAAGGGGTACGTGTCTCCTATTTTTACACAAAGATCCACGCCCATGTGAGCAAAGAACAGGTGAAGCAAATAATTCTATTAGAGCTAGCTTGATAAATATGCAGGGTCAAGAGGTGCTCCAAATTGTTTGATCAAATCTCGCAAATAAAGTACTAGGGGCTTATTTTATAAATATACGGAGAAGGCTCACAGGAAAGCAGAAACAAAGGTAAGGAAAATTAGAGTGAGTAATGAACGTAAGATTTCAAATGCCTTTCAGCAGGAAAAAAACAAACAACAACCTCATGTTTCATAAAGGGAACATAATCAGTCTTTTCCCCCAGAGAGGTTTCTGAGGTACCAATTTCACTGTAATATCCTGGTACATTCAAGTGAGGATTTACACACAATGAGACTCAGAATGCTGCTGATTTTTTTTCCCTGAGTTCCTGTATTTGCCCATCAGCAAGAACGTGAGATGAAGATGTTCCCCGTAATTGTAATTAGCATAACAAATAAGATGTAGCAGTTCATGGTGTTGCCTCCCTAAAAATTAAGCAAATCTATAACAAGTGGAAATGAGGCAAAACTGAACTGCAGAACATCCAGAGTGAAATAACATGTTCTAGGCCCTCAGTATGTTCCTTTTAGCACTCCTTCGCAAAGCCACCAGCAGATTCAACCATCTTTTCTACCGTAAAGTCTAGAAGGGACATGGGGCCGTACCTCTATCTGGGGAAGATTTGGCACGATGTTAAGAAAGATGTGCTTTTATTAGGAGACCCTGCATTCTGCAAATGTCAAAGCAGAGATAGACCCCATCCTTACTGAAGGTCGTTTTATATCATTTCAGCTCGGACGGTGCTTATGGTGGCTGCGTCTAGATGGATAACATGGCTTCCTCTACTCTAAAATATTCCTATAATACTTTGAGCTGTTCTGGTTCCTCCAGGGTGCGTGGTACCCATTAACCCAAACTATGATCATTTCCCTTTTTCTCCCATTTTCAGTCCTTTTGGAATGTTCTCTGTGAAACACAGATACATTGTTTAAAGTTTGCGGTCCTTGCTATCTATCACCATGGAGGTTAGCCTCTGGTTTCTGTTTTAAGGGTGCTGTTCAATAAAGCTGTGTACCCTGAACATCTTTCCTCTCTGCGTGGGCCTTGCTCTGTCCATGGAAGGTTCTAATGAGGTCTCATTGTTTGCATCCCTCAGGTTACCTGAGGGGATAAGTGCATCCAGCCCTGGGGCTGAGGAGCATTCACTCATAAAGCTGTATGTAAATCAGCTTGACCACAGCCCACGGTCAGTATCCCAGCTCTGAAGCACTAACTCTAGTTCCTAGTGCCATAGCTAGACTGCTAGTCGTCCTGCTCCATCACTAAAATCCTCTTCGAGTATGTCTCAGTAGAGATACTGTCATCTTCTGGGGCTTCATGAGATTCCGTTGAGCATGTTCAACCCGAGCTGGACTTCAGCTCTTTCCTCTCTTTTCCACTTCTGATCTTGACTTCACGGCCTCATAGCAGTATATATGAGATACATATATATGAAGAGTACCAAGCTGGATCTTCTTCTTTAGAGGAGTCTCTGCTTTTGTACAGTCTGCAAGACCCCACATGGTGATTTCTTAGATTCTTGAATCAAAGAGCCTCTTGGAGTGATTGATCTTTAGCACTAACAGGGTAAGGCCAGGACAAGGTCCCATGGCTGGACCACATTGTGGTAAAGGACTTGAGAATTTAGGCCTTACTGTCCCACTGGACCTGGGCCACATTTCCCGCAGGTAAGGCAGTCTGATTCCTATTACAGGAGCAATTTCAAAACCAATTCCACGCTCTCAGTGCTTACTTTCTCTCACTTGATGATGCTGGTGGTGACCCACTGTTTATTTCTTAACCATGTCCATACACAGAGGTTAATGGAAACCCATCATGCCAAATGCAGGCATAAATTAAGAGTCCTGTTCTTCCTACTACTGGAACTGAACCAAAGAAATATGACCTAGAGCTTTGCCCTCCATTCCTGCCCAATCCCAACTGCCCTTTTTAAAAATCTGATAAAACCAGGGTGCCTGGGTGGCTCAGTCAGTTAAGCATCTGCCTTCGACTCAGGTCATGATCTCAGGGTCCTGGGAGTGAGCCCTGCCCTGGCTCCCTGCTCAGCAGGGAGTCTGCTTCTCCCTCTCCCTCTCCCGCTCCCCCTCCCCCTCCCCTTGCAGGGAGTCTGCTTCTCCCTTTCCCCCCTCCCCCTGCTCATGCTCTCTCGCTCTCTCTCTCTCAAATAAATAAAATCTGTTTAAAAAATTAAAAAAATAAAAATAAAAATCTGGGAAACCGAAAACCTAAACAAGGCAAGCATGGTGCTGGTCAGTGTTAATTAAGGCAGCATTAAGAAAGTAGGGAGGTTTGGCATACCGATATTTTATTTAGCTTGAGTTTTGGGTCTTCTGTATTGTGAGAGATCTTGGAAAGATAAAGCGAAATGAGAATGAATTGAAATCACCACTCCAGAATCCTTGATACAAACTCCTGGCATTACTCACCTAGAGTCCTTTACAAGCATACCACTTTGATCTTCAAAAGGCACTAGGGAATATCTTTGAAGTCCTTTGACACCCTAGCAATCTACCTTACACAGATTTACGAGTGTATAGCTCTGGTTACCACCACCGTCTGTCGCAGCCCTGTTCTTATTTCCATTTCTAGCTATGTACTTGATTCACCTTTCCCTTACTTAAAAGAAAAGAGGGAATTCTCAAAGGCACCCTCCCTTAAACTTTGGAAGTCTTCATGCGTGTGTGTGTGTGTGTGTGTGTGCAATTAGGTACAATATGGGTCCACACAATTTGTGGACTAATTCACTTCACTCATTTTTGTGATCATAACTATATCCTTAAACCTAGATTATTTTCTTATAAATGCACAAATTTACAGGGGAAAAATGCTGGAACAATGGAAGTCTCTCATCACCACTGGGAAAAGAGCTCCAAGGGCCACGTACGTTGTGGCGGCAACATTATCTACGCTTATGAAAGATTGACTATCATTACTACAAAGAGTATTGCAAGGGCTGACCCAAAAGACCCTCCTCCCCTTCACCGCCCTCAGCATCGTGCCCCTGCCTATCTTTGTTGGCATGGTGCCCCCTTTGTAAAATCTTAATTATCTTGATGAAACCCTTGCATCATTTATGTGAGAAAATTAACCAGTCCTATCCCATGTCACATAAGGCCCTTTAATTATAGCCAACATCTTCATTACCACAATAAGGACATTGTAAAAGTTTGAATGGCTACTTTCTTTACCCCCGATTTTAGAACCATCTCTTGAAGGTTCACAGATACTTTCACAAATGGAACCTCTAGAGTAGTAACTACTCACAAAAGGAATCACTGTGGCTATTATATATAGCACTTAGCCAGATCTTCTCACTCTCCCAAATGTCAGAAAATTGCTTATGATTCATAGAGTGTGTCGAACACAGTCTAATGGGCTGTTTTCTGGTTTGTCACAGTGCCATCTGGTTAATGGCTAATACTATATTCAACTTAGTAGCGCACATGGGGAAGGCACATCACTCACCCCAAATACTCCCCAAATCCTGATTCTTCCCACCACAGCAACATGGTGAGATTTTTATTGGTTGACTGGTTGGTCGGTTGGTTGATTGGTTTGGGTTTTCAACCACAGAAAAGGTAATTCATTGTATCTTTTTCAGTTTTTTTCAAACACTTGCTTACCCAAAGATTATTTACCTAACAACCCTAGTTTTTTAATCAGACTTAAAACATTCAAACTAGATTTTAAGCATTTGTGCATTGGTAATCAAAAGCAAATAGAAATGAAATTGAGGCACTGAATTCAACCTTGGCTTCTGAAAACCAACGTTTTTCCATGGTTAATTTCTTCTAAGATTAAAAACCATCCTTTCTAGTCAGGAAAACAGATGAATTAACACCATAAAATAGATGAACTTATAAATCAACCACCGTGAAGATTTCTTCACTCTTTTCACACTTTCTGGTCATGTTGTGTGAAATTTCATGAAATTTGAAATAGTCTTTTCAGTTAATTCTTTATTCCGTGTAGCCCCAGAGCTCCACTAATACGTTAGTTTTTTCCAAACCTGAATTCAACTGGTCTTCACACTCCATTCTATTTCCTATACTGAAATATTAGTGCATAATTAAAACTCCAGTCACCTCTCTTCTTCACTTCAGTAACTTTTATTCACTTGCTAGAGTTGCTTTAGTTCTTCTCTGTGTATGCCCTATACCCAGCAAACTTTTCTAGATGCTCTCTTGACAAAAATGCAATTGACACAGCTTAGTGATATCTGGGGGACAACATAGTAAATGTAGTGAATCAAATATGACCTAAGAATTCTTATTATTTCCTCCGCAGTACCTGCTTGAAAGATAGTTCAGCTTTCATGCCAGCCTGAATTGATGACAACTAATTTTCCCACTGAAACACTGAGCTGTTTTTTATGCTTGTTTGCTGATTTGCATGTGGCAGATAGTTTATGTTTCAGATCTCAGATATTGAAAACTAGAAAAGGAAAGAAAAACAGAATTTTTCCAGAAATTATCTCAACTTGTGGACATTTTTTATTGTTTTCAAATTAGTTAAATTAGTTTAGTGACCTTGTTACTAGCCTGAGTTAATCATAGTGAGAAGCAATTAAGTAAAAAACAGCTTTATTGAGATATAATTGATATATAATTCAATGAATATATTTAAAATAAGTGTGCAGTTCAAGAGGTTTTGACATATATAAACAATATGTCGTACATACTTATATATACACATGTAAATGAACATATAATATGTTCATATATATTATGAACATATACTTTCATAAGTGTGAATATACACACATACATACATGTATGGCTGTACACATATATATGTGTGTATGTGTGTTTACATACATACATGAGAAGCAAAATTTTATTCACAATTAACAGTTAGTTACTTAAGAAGGGAGCCAACTTTACAAGTCATCCTTTACCAGTTCAAACACCACACAAGTTTATCAATTATTTAAAAATTAGTAAAAATGAAAATATGTTTTTAATTTGCCATTTGAATGTCATTTTCCGTTTAACCATGATGATAATAACTATTTTACGTTACAAAAGTTGTTTATATAATACTGTTGCTCTGTGAGACTGCATCCAGGACTTTTATTTAAATCCTTTATTTTCATGTTTAATAAAAGAAAAAAAAATATTTGACCAGAGCTAATACAGTAACACAGCATAAGCAAGAATGGCTTTTAAAACTATATTTCAGATTTCAGCAACAATCCAGGGAGCATTTGTGCATGATTTTGTTACCTTAGAACACCCCAAAAATGTAATTTACGCTTAAGCAAAAAACTCGACAGGGGTGGCTGGGTGGCTTAGTCATTAAGCGCCTACCTTCAGCTCAGGTCATGATCCCAAGGTCCTGGGATCGAGCCCCACATCGGGCTCCCTGCTCAGCAGGAAGCCTGTTTCTCCCTCTCCCCCTGCTTGTGTTCCCTCTCTCGCTGTGTCTCTGTCAAATAAATAAATAAAATCTTAAAAAAAAAAAAAAACTCAACATTAGTTGTCACCCTTCAAAACCAAGGGTGAATTTTAAATAAATAAATATGAGACATTTTGAAATTGCTCTACCATTCCAGAACCCATTGTATCAATGTGTGTGTGTGTGTGTGTGTTTGTGTGTGTGTGTGTGTATGTGAAAAAAATCTGGGAAAAGGCTGTTTCTCTTTATATAAAGTTGCTCTTTTCCAGAGATCTCAAAAGGAATTGGTGAGAACATAGAGAATTTTTTTAGGAAAAAAAATCTAAAGGAATATTTCCCGCCTCTTTTCTTTCAACCAAACACATCAACTTCAAATTGACGTTGTCATCCCCTCCAGGGTATGATGGTCCCCACGCCCATTCATGTTAGTATGTGTGCAAGGGAATAAAGTTATACAATGGCAAGTACCTGGTAGGGGAAAAAAAACAATAAGAAAAAGAAATATGTGTACACACAATTTTAGAGATGGTGACCCTGCTTTTCCTTGGGACTCAGATTAGAAAAGATTTATCACACATGGTCAAGAGGAGCCCCAGGTAGTTCCCTGCTTCAGAGGATAAAAGGAAGAATGCATTTTGATTTGAGAACAGGGCATGTGGAAGAATGGGAGGCTTCTATAGCTGGGGTTACGTGCCAACCATTGTTGCATTCTGGAACACGGACTTTCCAGAAGCATTGCTTCTTGGGAAGAATGGAGGTGCCCATGTGTCTGATCCCAAAGCCCACAATGAATTGGAAATACGCCCCAACTTCTCTACACAAATGGCCAAGCTACCACGTGAAAATTTAAACATCTAGTGTATTCTATAAAGTATCGTGATGTATGTTGCTTTGAAGAAATGATAATGAACTACGTATCGTTACTATCTTCACAACAACTGGGGAGAAAAGGTTTTCAATTTGTTTTCCTTCTTTGAGCTCCTGGGGAGGTGCAAAAGAAAATCTAGTGAAGATACTTCACATGAAAAGTCTTTATAGACCCAAGTTTAAAGTGAAAACTGCCTCCCCTGTCAACTCTGTAAGTTCTTGATCTATTTCATTTTGATCCTCTCTTGTGTTCATCATGAACTTGGCTTCCTCTATACATGGTCATATTTTTGGCTTCCCAGAAATAAATGATGAGGAGAAGAATTTGAGACTAGTTCTAGGAAGTCCAGAAACTATGTGGACACTGCGTACCAAAAGTCAGACATGCTCTTGGCACTAGATACTAAGAGCTGTAGCAAAATGAAGTAAATAGTGTATTTCCACAAATTCACAGAAGCAGAGAGTGTAATTTCCATATTTTCTAAGAACTGGTTTTCCCAAGAACTCATGTGGGAGGCAGACGGAACATAAAAGAACTTAAATGATTTCTTCAAACCAACATTGGCATTTCATTTGTTGAAAATGACAACAAGATGAAAAGAGATGTGTACGGATAGAATGTCTGCTCCTCTTCCCTCTGAAGGAGGAAAGGATTTGGGAAGAAGAAGGAAGAAAAAAGAAGAGAAGAGGGAAGACAGGCAAATGGAGTAGAGGAAGGAAAGAGGGGGCCCAAAGAATTGGGAGAAAAAGTATAAGGCCACCAAAGGAGAATCTGGGCCTCTGTTCCCTTCCTGAAACCAGCAGGACTCCTCCTGTGGCCAAGATGCAAGATGCCTTCCTGGGACTTTACTGACACATCACCTTCCTCCTCCAAGACTTCTCAGGCATAATTGGTAGCGAACACATCCTCCCAGTTGAGCCTCGTGTGTTTCTTTTCTCTGCTAGTCCTTTCTTTCTTCCTGTGCATTCAGCACCAGAGGTTGTACCCGCACAATTATTAAGCTTTTGATTTAAGGAACCACCACAATTTTGGGGATTCAAGGGGCAAAATGCATAACAAGGCAAGGAAATAGTTAAGTTTGGAGGGAAGAATCATTGAAATTTCACACCGTGTTTTGAGTGGTTTTGCAGGGATCTGAAATCAATTATATAGTAGGTACATCTATCTTGAGTTAAAAAGAAAAAAAAGTTGGGAAGGGTGGTAATTGGGCAGCAGAGAGACTCTAATTACTGGATAATGAACACAGAGGGATATGCTTCAGAAGACAAGGTTTGGTATGCTGTTTTGGTGGGATGATAGGAAAATACCAACTATGATGGCTTAAGGTGGTGATTTCGTCCTGATGGACAACTTCATCATCTTAGAAGGTGAAGATCAGTATGCTGAAAAAACTCATTATGTTCATCAAGAAGTTAAATTCTCCTTGAACACTAATCATTTCACTGTTAAAGTCAATTACATTTATGTGCAGTTGTACTCTTTAAGTAATAGGTTCATTCCTGAAAAGCTAAGTGAGGTCGTACATTCAACAAACACGAGTGCTACTCTCTACTAGACACTTTCTTTATAAATCAGATTTGATTTTAAGTTTGCCAGAGACCTCACTACTTAAGTATTATCTCATAGTATATAAAATTATAAAACAAGAATTTTAGTTACAATGTGCATAATTCTAAAGTGATATTGGTTTTCACATTGGTATTTTCTTTGTACTTCATGGTCTAAAAGAGTGGTACTTTGTAGTAAATCTTTAAAACTTGTAGTTGAAGTTTTATTTAAGATTTTAACTACTTTATAAGCCATCTTAACACAAACATATATTTAGAACTTGTTGAAAAGTTGGGAAAGTTTGTGGTAAAACCTCATACTTTCAACCCCAGAAATTAAAGATTTGGTCATCAAACAAAGTCAGACAGTTAATTTTTGTATTCTCCATGAAAAGGGTGGGAGGATAGTTTTTGGTCCACTGGTGTTAGAGGGCAAATTCTTAACCTACAAAGGAGTAGGCTCCCTTTCAGCATGTTACATGTACAATTGTATTACTAAGGATCAATACCATATTTCTCAATGAAGCATGCTTAGTAGATCCTGGGTGACTTTCACTTGGCCACACTTTATTAATTATTATTTCTATTTCTATTTGTCATTTGATAAAACCACACTTTAAACTTTTTAAAACTATCATTTAAATTACTAAATGAGTGTTCCTCATAATGAACCTAAAATGGTAAGAATTTGCTATATTGATAGGCCTCTATTCACCAGTTATAGACACAGGGAATATGAATATATATTTATAAGGCTCAAAGGTTTATTTCTGTGTTTCTCTGAAAGCTTTCTTTGCAGCTTCTCAGCATGGGTAAGGTGACTTGTGCCTGGAGTAGTAAAGCACTTCTAATATGACTGCAGTCTCTAGGTAATTTTCAAGTCTCTATTCAACTCAGAAAGTTGGAAAATATAGGGAAGGCTGGAGAAGTATACTTTTTGAGTAGGATCTGAAGGTTGGCAGCACTTAGTGAACTATTGGGCCGTTTACATGATAGTCCGTAATGAATGTTGAATGAATTTTCATTATGTCCAGGCATATGCAATCTATTTGTTAAGCAAATAGCGAGGTCAAATCGGGGATCATGGAAGCTTGTGTAATTACAGTTATGGTTCTCAGGCCAGGTTTCTAGTCCTAGTTCAACTCTGTGGAAATCTGAAAACATCTGGAACCTTTCAAAATAACAAGAGAGCTGTCCAAATGGAGCTTGGATCTAGACTTGGGAGTTTCTGTAGCCAGTTCTATTCTTGAATGCATTGCTGTGTTTACGCTCTTCTTGGCTTTCCCATCTTATTAACTAGCTCTCCTCCCAAGGACAGTGAAGTAGAGCAGAACAAACTGCTGGCTAGGGCTGCTCCAGCTTTTCTGAAGGGCAAAGGGTAAGTTAAAGCCAGAGTGTACTGAATCCTGAATTAACTAAACTAAAAATGGAGATTTCTTGTGTCAAAAATGCTTTATGTTTGAAAGACCATCTTTGATTTAGTAGAAGCAGCTCTATTATAACCCCACTAACAGCACCATGTAGTTCTTTGGAGTAGACACATCTGTGTTACTCACTTTCTCTGATTTCCTTTTTTTTTTTTCTTTAGTGACTAAACTTTAGATTTGATTTTCCAAAGGATACTTACTCTTTGCTTGCAACCCAATCAATGTGTTTACTGTACAGATGAATTTCTTGGCTGTAGTGGCTTGAAGAATGCAAATCTGTTTCCTTAAAAGCTAATTTACCTAAATGGAAATCTTTATTTTTTTAAACTAGTGAAATGGAACTGTGTATTTCAATGCTTGGATTTTGTTTGGATTTTTTGTAGAACATCACTTACATTTCCTCTACCTGCTTGGTTTTCTAAATGCCTTTTTTATCACAAACTCACTCCTACTCACTCTGTTTATTTCTGTTCGCCTCTCCTACCAACACCCTTTCTTCCTCCTGCCCCGTTTCAGGATACAATACAGCCTGAATGTGGCAGACAGGCTAGCTGATGAACATGTTCTCATCGGGTTGTATGTCAACAGGCTCCGGAACAACCCATCATGGTTAGTGCAGGTTTGGCTGCTTGACTGTCCTTAGGGAGGGTAACAGTCTGATCCCTTGACAAGAAGTCTCCGTGAAGGACAAGTGGATGCTACAGTGTCACTAAGTCATTTTGAACTGATTCAGTTATGACGTCTTTCATGATGTTAGTTTGGATACTTCCCATTCATGTACCATAGAATTCATCACAGCTAAAGGGAAAACTTGTGTAAGTGGATACCATGCTAAATATTAGCCTTCAGTGGATGCAGGGCTCTGGGTCCCACCGGTCAGTTCCATGTTACATGTGCCATGTCAAATTACCACACAATAGTGATGCAGGAACTTGTCTTATTCCAAGGTCATGGATGTCTCTGCTGATTTGGAGGGACAGTGCTCTATTAGTTTAAGATAGAAGTGAAAAGAGGAAAAGTGATGGGATGGGATCATACCATGGAAATCCTTTCCTTAATGATAACAATGGGAGAAACTATCTTTCAACTCTTCTCGGACTTACCAATATTTCTGGAGAGCCATCCTCTTAAAGCCTGCTTTCAAGTCCCATAATATGGAAAGCTTACTTCCAGATGTGTTAAATGTATGAATTCACATAGCCCTGCATATTTGGATAAAGGCATTCATAAAGTTTTTCTCTATTTTAATTGTGACCTAGGAGATTCCTAGGTTGAAGTTACTTGGTTTTGATAATAAATGTACATTTGCAATTTGAATGAAAATAAGGGGACAGACTATGTATTTATCATATGTTTCAGTCTAGTTTAGACTCCTGTGTTTACAAATGTGTTTAGCAAACCAGTTCCTTAGAAATATTTGAATTTTGCTTAATAACTCTTTCTCTGAACTAAGGGCTGATGGATTTTTTTTTTTTTTTGTCATTATAAATATTAAGTGAACCAATGGGTTAAATTGCCTTTAAAATAGCTGGCCTCTTTCCTCTACTGTTTCACAAAAAGCATCCCTGAAACGTGATGGCCACTTCTCAGTCCTCATCTCCTTCATCACTTGGTATTGTTAGCCACTTCTTTGTTTCTAGAACTCTCCTCCCTGGACTGTTTCTGCTCCTGATACCTAGAACTATTCTTACAAAATTAGTACATGAGATGATCTTAGGTGATACATTGATGAACATTTATTAGCAGTTACATATTGATCTTAATTTGTATTTGTTAAAAAATATAACCAGCACACTAGTTTCATTTTATACTATATCCTACACTTCACAAAGGTAAAAATAAGAAGCTCTCTTCAGCTGACCTCACCTCTTTGTTCAAAGTTGCCAAACTTATAGATCCAACAGTTCCTCTTCTTTGTTACCTCTCAGCCTCTCAGAACCACAAGTGAGAAGAGTGATTGCTTTAATCTTATTCCCAGTGAGTTTGGATCCCCAATGTTATATGGTAGCTGAAACAGCAGAGCTAAATACTGAATTACAAAAAAAAAAAAAAATGTATTGACATTCCTCAAAGAGTATTATCGATATAGATTCAATCATGTCTGAAGGCAAAGCTGTAGTCTCAGACCGTGTCCTCTCCCCCGTAATTCTGAGCACACTCCAGTTAACTTCTCCCACTCTTCTTTGACCTTTTCTGAAGTAAATTTGTAACAAAGAAATCTCCAAAGAGGAAAGCTCACAGTTTGTCACTACCAGCCATTTTCCCTACTCAAGTGATTGATCATACTGACTTGATGGTCACTTAAGACAGTAAAACTGTCTCCACGGAGACACCTCACATCTACTTGATGAAAGCGAGAGGTGATATTTATTTCAAAAACAAAGCAGAACTTAAGACTGATCAACGAAGCAGGCTGCTTGTTAAGAACTGCTGCCCTCCATATTTCTTTATGCTTTTTTCTGTTCTTAGAAATTTCCAACTTTTCTTCTGAATTTCTCATTTATCTTCTCTTTCCTTTGTATTGAATTAGATCCTAACAATTCCCCACACCTGCCATGATTATGTAAGTGATGTAGTGATCTCTCACCTTCTCTGTCATCTTAATAGCTAATAATGCTTCACCATCCTTCAACTCTGGGGAGATATGAAAGGGTAATAATCATAAAAGCTACCATTTTTTAAAGCACAGGCCTCCTGCTAAACACTGTGTAAAAACTTTATTTACATAATTTCCCCTAGTCCTTAGAGTAAACCCATAGAGTAAATGTATTCATCCCCATTTTATAGATAAATAAAGGTATCAATTTACAGAGTTTACATGACTCTCCCACAGTCACATAGCTATGAAACAGTGGATCAGGAACTTTAACCATAATCTACTGGATCCCAAACTCCTAATCACTATGCTACATTGCCTATTATAAAACCTACATAAACATGTGCTTTACAGAAAGCTTTTCTGGACATTACTCTGCACTGCATCTACCACATATCTGTTTCCTGAAATTGCAAATCCTACCACATTATTTTTATTTCATTTTAATGATATTTTGAGCACATACTAGTAATAGGAACTGTGGTTGTTAATATTACCATTTTTGTATTTAGTCTATGCATTGTGGTTTTCCGTTTTAATTACAGTCTTCAAAAGAGCAAAAATTTTGTCTTTAGTCTCCTGTATTTCATCATGGCAGCCAGAATATGAATAATAAATTTTACATCTATGAAGTGCTTCAAAAATTACAGAGCCCTCTCTTATACATTATTTGCTCACCAAAGCTCTGTAAGTTTAGATATTATTAATTCCGTTTCACTGATAAGAAAATGCTAGCTCTGGCACATTAAGAGACTTATCCAAGGTCATATGCTAGCAAGGGCTTGCATACAGGCCTTCTGACACTGGGTCCCATCTATTTTCCACCCCATTCCTCACGCTCCCTATATCTGCACCCTTCATGAGATGGTCTATAAACAGGAACTTAATAGCTGTTCTTAATTAAAAGATTTGTTTTTATAATTATTCATATTTGCTCCGGATTAACTCTGTGTGGGAGACTTTTCCCCATATTAACTACTTAATACAATGGGAAACTGACTCATTTGTAAACAGTCTACTGCTAAATTAGAGAAACACTTCTGTGTCCTTTCAGGTTCTGATGTCAAAGAAGACAAATAAATTCACTGTAGCTCAAGGGAGAATTCCTGCTGTCTTCCTAATACCATGAAGTTTTAAAAGCCTTAATGGTTTTCAGCCATCTTCTCCAGTGGGGGAGAAAGGGTATTAAAATGTAATACAGTGAGGGCTTTTTCTGCCTGTCCCTAAAGCTCATCAAGTGCTGGGCTTGCTAGTGGTTTATAGGGACCCATTGTGGCAGGCAGAATAAAAAGATCGGAAACGAGCCCCGAACTTCCAACTCTACCCATAATTATATCCTTGATACTTACCATATTCATAAGCTTCTGCATATTACTCTCAGCTCTGAAAAGACCCCCTGTGTAAGGGAGGGAGGGCGTGCAGTTAAAGGCTACCGTCCATACTTTGATGTCATGATCAATTACTGTCACTTAGCTATTAGACCCCTGATCACATATAAATAGGTTAAAATTTGTTTTGCTTATGTTTTTTTCAAGTACAGGAAATTATATATTTGATGCCATTTCTAGGTTTCATATATGCGGTCTAAATTTTTATTGGCTTGCCTGCTTAAAACCCTTTAATAGATCCCACGGCACCTGGTTTACAACCCAGACCCTTCACCAGGCCTACAAGCCTGTGCACGATCCAGCCCTTGCCTAGTCCTGTCTCAGGCCCAGTCTCATGGGCTTCTCCCACTCAATCCCAATACTTAGCAGCATCCACTTTAATCAGTCCCTAAAACTGCCTCAAGACCATGATACTATTTCTTGTCTATGCCAAGAACATTCTTCCCACTTTACCCTTGCCCTGTCTGGCCACACACACGTACATTGGCTCCCTTTACATGTATGTAAAGGCTGCTTCTCTGGCTTCCAAACTCAGATTAAAGGCATCTCCTCAAGTAGGTCTCCCATACTAGTCTCTATCATGGCATACTGTTTATTTCATTCTTACCATAACTGTAATCATTGGTTGGTCAGTTGGTTGGTTCATTAGTTTACCAGCTGCCCTCTCTGTAGAGCAGGGAGCTTCTCTAACTTGTTCTTTACCATATCTCTGGGACCTAACACAGTGCCTGGCACACACAGTAGCTACACAATAAATCTCTGTTGATGTCACGGGATATTGATGGTGCTGTAGGTATAAAATTCCCTCTCACCCTAAACAAAATTGTTAGTACTTCTCAGAAAATCTTTTTTACTAGTAAAATAAATATTTTTATTACTTTAAAAAAAAATCACCTATTATAAATTAGCCCTTAGGTTGAACATTTAGTGTAGGAGTATAAAGTAGGTGAAAAAGTAAAGTATTAAGCTTTACGTAGAGAGTGGTGGTAAACCTGGATAAAGACAAGCATCAGCAATTCACTGACATGGGGAAAGCAGCTGATGGGGGGCGGGTAACTAAACTAAAAGTGATATTGGGAAATAATTTTTTTTACTTTTAATGTTCTCTGATCTCTTCCACTTTGTATTAGTTTGCTAGGGCCGCTATAACAAAATAACACAGACTGTGCATCTTAGACAACAGAAATTTATTTTCTCATCGTTCTGGAGACTGGAAGTCCAAGACCAACGTGCCAGTAGGGCTGATTTCTCCTGACATCTCTCTCCCTGGCCCACAGATGGCCACCTTCTTGCCTTGTTCTCACGTGGCCTTTTCTCTGTGCACAAACATCCCTAGTTCTCTTCCTCTTCTTATAAGGACACCAGTCATGTTGGCTGAGGGCCCCATTTTACTTTAATTACCTCTTCAAAAACCCTAACTCCAAATATAGTCACATTCTGGGGTACTAGGGCTTAGGGCTTCCACACATGAATTTGGGGGAAGACACAATTCAATCCATGACCCACTTCAACACTAAATCCACCAAATTGTATGCCTTTAATATTTTTAATGTGTAGGCTAAAACTTGACCCTTTTCAGTAAAGGTTGATTTGGAAAATGTAAATGTATTGCAACCTGTTGAAAG